TGTATGTAACAAGCACCTGGATAAAAAGAATACTACTAGAACTTTCCTAGTGTCCTTTCCAATCAGTACCCTCTCAAGGAGAATCAATATTCTCACTTCTAACACTGTAGGTCAATTTTGTCTATTTTTGAAATTTACATAAATCATACAGTGTGTACTCTTTTGCATCTATCTTCCATTGTTTATCATTACATTTGTGAGGCTCACCTGCTACATTGCTTCATGTAGTTGTGATTTGCTCATTTGCTATATATTAGCCCACTGCATGAATGTAACAGGATTTATTTTGTGGGTGCTCATTTGGGTTGTTCCATTTTTTTCTTTTGCTACTAGAACCTGAACTTTTTCCTTCCTTTTATTGAGCTCTTCTGTGAATTTAAAAAAGATTTTCTGGTCAGCACAGCAATTCTAGATGGTCTGTATTGGGACAACTTTTAGATCTCACAGGCTGCCAAACTTCCTGACAATAAGTATCTTTTCTTTATTTTTCTTGCTGAAATTCTTGCTTGATTCTTATCTGATTTACTTCAGCTGAGTACTTAATTCTTCAGACAGCCCTCTATAAAAATGATTTTGATTCCTGTGAGCCAATAATGAATGAACAAAAACAGAATAGAGATGAGATATGTAATTAATTTTGTAGTCATTATCTCTTGTCAGTTTGGGATGTTGCATGTCTAAGGTTAATTTACTGTTAAAAAGTATAAAATATGGAAAGGGCATTTTAAAGAAATAGAGTGGCTGAAGACAGCAATAGTAGGAACTGTAGATTTGGTTGTTTGGTTCCAGGGTCTCCTGATTGGTTGACAATGGGAATATTAAATAAGAGGAAAATTCTCATGATGACTCAATAAGCACATAATCAATATATTGCCCGAAAAGGCACTCCAAAGTGGGGCTACCGTTAGCCTGCAAACGTAATTATTCTACTAGTTTAGTAGTTCTCAACTGGGGGCAATTTTTCCCCCCAGAGAATATTTGGCAATATCAGGAGATATTTTGATAGTCAAGCGACTGGCATCTAATGGGTAGAGGTTAGGGATGCTGCTAAACATTCCAGAATATGCAGTATAGCTCCCCACAACTAAATTTTATTCAGTCCTAAGTATCAATACCTCCAATATTGAGAACCTCTCTATTAGGCCTATGAATGAGACACTGGCGCTAAATTAAGAGTGTATTTAAATAAACACTGTAAAAAAAAAAACTTCAAAAAATAAGAGTTAAGCTGGGCTTAGTGTTGTGTAATGCCAGATCCGTGGGACCCCCATAGACCTCAAGGAGCCCAAACCGATGCAATCACACGAGTCTTTATTGCAAGCTTGAGCCAGGACTCACAAGGGAAAATATCTGAAATGCCAGGTGACCCTCCCAGCAGTTTCCGTGATTGATAGCATGATTAGGCAATCCTGCAAGTTTAGTATATACACGCTTGCAATCCCTCACAGCCTAAACCAATCAGTTCAAATGTATCCACCACTTGAACTAACCAATCACCCTTACCCAACTTGTTCTGCCAGTGAATGTGCTAATCAATGTTAAGAGTTGTTGTTTGATTTTCCAGAGGTATGAAATGATTTGCTGTGTGGTGTTGTGATGCATAGAGTATTCCCCCCCAAAACCTATAAATCCTCACTGAACTAAGGGTTGGGACTCACTCCTCGGGACCCCTTTGTCAGAAACGGTTGTGAGTCCAGGCTCAAACTTGCAATAAAGACTCCTGTGTGATTGCATTGGATTCAGCTCCTGAAGGTCTATTGGGGTTCCACGAATCTGGAGGCCCTAAGCAACTTAGCAAGAAACTGTTACAAAATAAAAAATAAAAAAGGGCTAGGGATGTGACTCAATGGTTAAGTATCTCTGACTCTAGTATCAAAGGGGGTGGGGGGCTATAAATATATGCAATTTTTATTTGTCAGTAAATAATAATAATATTGTCCCAAAGTTTGCATCTTAGTTTTGATCAGTGTACTGGGGAAGCAAGTTGAAAAGTTTATGGAAATTGCCTATATAATCTTTGTAATTCTTCTGTAAATCTGAAATTATTTCAAAATAAAAATATTGAAAATGCACTACAGGACCAAAAAAAGAAAAAAAGTGGGGGGGAGGCGGAGAAGAAGTTACCGAGGGGCACATTCTATGATTCCATCCAAATTCTGACACTGCGGATAGTTCCAGTTCACAATTGGCTCAGTCAATTCTTTTCAGTTTTAATAAAATGACTTGAATGGAAGGTAAAAATAAACAGTTACAAACAGCAATTTATAGTCATTACACTTAAGCAACAAAATTTCCCTATAATTTATGCCATTTATTTTATTTTACTATTCAAAACACTAAAATTTTAAGGCCAACAGAGTAAATCAGGTATGAAAATGGCGTTAGAATAACAAAGATTTAGATTTTGATGTGTCTTACAATTAGACTATAAGGTATCCTTTTTCTTTTGTTCACACATTTTTGCAGTTTATATTTAGAGCAAAGCTAAATTTCATTATTTCTCCAATGGAGTTGATGATTTAAATTTGCCTCTTCTTCCTTTAGGCAGCACATACTTACCTCTGTTCTTTTGATTCATTTCCCCTAGAAAGCCGAGAAGGAATTTTGTAATGATATTATTGGTTTTGTAACTGGTGTTTCCATTGTAATGTTATTACTGAAGCAGTGTTGTGATAAATGGTCTGTTTAAAAGGGGAATCACTTTTACAAGAAGTAGAAAATTAGACACGCTTCTGCTTTGCAATAACAATAAAAACCACAGTGAAAAAAATATTCTCCAGTTTATTCCCATCTGTATCAGCAGGGAAGCTTTAGAAGATGACTTTTTTCCTAAAGTCTTCCAAACACGATTATTGCCTACAAGTACCATGTCAAAGTGCAGATTTCCTCCAAATCCCATTGAAGACCAATACATTCTTAAGCTTATCATAACATGGTCCCTTTAAGAAAGCCAGGCGCCTCAAACTCCACCCCTCTGCTGACTAGTAGCAGTCAAGCTGCCTTTCCAAAGCAGTGAGTTTAGTGATAAAGCTAAGGGTGAGCTAATTTGCCCCCTGCTCTGCCTGGAAGGAATGTTCCTATTGCAGTGAGCTCTAAAAGTGGAAGCCTTAAGATACTATGGGAAAGGAACAATAGGAACTTGTGAGGTATGGAAGCCAGACTCACTTTTAAGATTCCATCACAGTGCTGAATAAAGTGGAAAGAATGCTGTTAAATCTGAGTTCTCCCCCTGTGGTGCTACTCCCTGCTAGCTTTACTCTTCCATTTCACCCAGCAAGTGAGTTTTCCAGAAGCTCTTTCCAATTTAAGGAGCTGATTGTCTCATGTAGCACATCTGAAGAGCAAAAGTCAGGGAGAAAAAGAAGTTTCAGTAAAAATCAAACTGAATCACTTGTAACATTTTTTTGTTGTTGTTTTTTAGATTGCATCTATGTTTTGGAAGAGCAAAACTAAATGCTTTTTCATTTGTTTTTATTCCCTGCTAAACCAACAGTGACTGAATTCAGAGGTCCTCTTGTACTCAACTAAAAAAATACATGGGAGAAATTTAACTGCAGTTGGCATTTTTGAGCTGTTTGCTAGAAGCAGCCATTTTGATAAAAGATGATGTCATTTAGAACACTTGGTGTGTTACTTTATTCTGGGGTCCAAGTTTATATTAGCCATGGAATAGTAGTTTAATCATTAGATCAAATTTAGGTTTAATGATAATGGGGGAGTGGGAATTAAAAAAAATCATGAACACCATCTCTTTATTTTTACTAACATTTTAAAAACCTTTGCAACAGTTCAAAACAATAGAAAACTTTTTACACTTTTTTTTCTTCCTATTTTCTGTTTCCATGTGTTTGTTCTTCCATTGACTAAACTTGGATAATAAAACTAGCCTGGTTGGTTTCACTTTCTAATTTTTATACATAAGTTAAAGCTGTTTTGTGTTAACAGAGTTAAGTGTTTAGAATCATCTCACCTGCTGGGCCAATTTCCTGCAAACCTTTGTTGTGGAGTGGGAAGGGGGGTAAGAGTATTTTATTTTGAATTTCTTAGGCTTTTTTAATGCTGGAACTCTGAATTAGACCACATTATAGTAATTAATCTGTTTTATTTTTATTTACTGAAGTTTTCTAGGAGTGAGCAAGAAGATAGCAAAGAAGGGTAATAGTTATGTTGTTCTCTCACTTAATCATGACTGTATAGCATAATGTTATGTCTGCAGCTACTTTGGAAAATTGGCACTTGAGATGTGTTTCAAACCTTCCACAAAATGTTTCTTTTTTCTTTGACAAATGTTAGTGTCTTAATCCTATTGCGTGAGATGTACTGGAAATGTTTGCAAAATGCAAAGAGAAACGGGGAATAAAAGAAGTTGTAACTTGTTTAAACAATTGAGCACAGTGTGCTTTTATGACATTACTGAAGGGCGGTGTGTCTCTTCTGCAAATTCTTTTCATAACAAGATTAACCTGTGGCTGCTGTTGTTTCACCCTACTCGGCCCAATGCAGGGGAACTTTCTGTTCTCTTAGCTCTATCCAAAGCTTCACAGTCGAGCACTTGGGACACTGTTAAGATAAAACTGCGTGTATGGGTGAAACAGACAGAGGGAGACACGCGCGCACACAGTCGGCGGAAGATGGGGCCACCATACGGTGGGGGCTGGATGCGGGAGCCAGGTTGACCTTTCCACGTGTCCCCAGCACCTGTGGGGTTGGTGGAGCCTTTTTTTTTTTTTTTTTTTTTTGATCCCGGAGAGGGCGCGAGCCCGGAAGAGGCTGGGCAGCTGTGTGCTTGGGGTAGGGGGCTCGGAGGCCCACTCTCGGAACACGTGCTGCCGGCTAGCTGGCGGTGCGGAGCAGGCCTAGTTCTCCCGCACCCGCATTGCCCGCGCGTTTCCAAACCGCGGCTGTCGCCAGGCGGCGGCGGGCGGGTCTCCGAGCTTTTGGCAAGCTTTGCAAGGCGGCCTAGCGAGCGCGCCTGGCCCGGCTGGAGCGAGCCTTAGTGCAATACTGCCCGAGCCCGGGCGGGGTCTCTGTTCTCTGGCAGAGGAGGTCCCTTGGCAGCGGGAAGCTCCCTCTCTTTCTCTCGCCGCCGCTCGGAGTCTGCGCCCTGGTGCCAGGCGCCCAGCTCGGCGCTCCCCTGTGCTTGCCCGGCGCCCACTCATTCGCAGCCCAGCCTTCGCCGCCGCCGCCTCCCTGCTCCTCCTCCACCTCCTTTCCCCAGCTCGCGGCGGCCATGGCGGACAGCGCCAGCGAGAGCGACACGGACGGGGCGGGGGGCAACAGCAGCAGCTTGGCCGCCATGCAGTCGTCCTGCTCGTCGACCTCGGGCGGCGGCGGCGGAGGTGGCGGCGGGGGAGGCGGCAGCGGTGGGAAGTCGGGGGGCATTGTCATCTCGCCGTTCCGCCTGGAGGAGCTCACCAACCGCCTGGCCTCGCTGCAGCAGGAGAATAAGGTGCTGAAGATCGAGCTGGAGACCTACAAACTGAAGTGCAAGGCGCTGCAGGAGGAGAACCGAGACCTGCGCAAAGCCAGCGTGACCATCGTGAGTGCTCCCCGGGGGCGCGCCGCATCGCCGACCTCCGCCCGCCCTCGGGAGGGACTGCACCCAGACCTGGGCAGCTTTCGGGCCCCCCCAGATTCCTAGGGACCCGCGGCGAGCACATTGCTTGCGGAGACCTACCGGTCTCCGGGGGAGAGGGAGGTCACCCTTTGGGACCCCATGGATCTGTCCTCCTCGGGGGACCAGGACACTCGTGGGGTGCGGGAGAAGACTAATGAGGCAATCACTCAGGTCCCTTTTCGCCCCTGGGAGGAGGCCCCTTCGGGGCAGGGCTGAATCCTGGTGGCGTGGCTGGGCTGGGGGCGGGGTGGGACTTTTTCAGTCTTCTTGTGCCTGAGCGTTGAGTCCATACTGTGGGGAACCCGAGTTGCGGGAGAGGGAGGAAGCTGAGCTCTGTTCTAGGGGCTTGGCTTGTTGTGGGGGGCGGTGCGCAGCTGGGCTGGGCACCCAGCTGGCATCAGGACCGCGCTAGCTGGATCGCCTGGGGAGGGGGCGGGAGAGAGTGGCCGGGAATCCGGGAAGTGGAGTTTTCTGGCCAGGATTGAGAGGGAAGGGCGGGTGCCACAGCTACTGCTCCCACCTCGGTTGGAAGCTCTTCCCTATGGTTGGGGAATGGGCAGTATATAGCCAGGAGAGAGCAGCATCTCACTGGCTGGGATTGGGTTGAGGCTGAAACCAAGGTAAAGGGTAGCTACTGTGAGCAAGATATAGGTATGTTTTCTTCAGTGGTGGCGGAGTGGCTAGGAGTATCTTGTTTCTGAGACTAGATATTTGACAGGAGAACAGGTCGTCTGTTCTGTTTCTATCTGACACCTGAAAACCCCCAGAAGAGGGTAGGGTTAGGTCTGTAGGTCTCTGTTCTGATGTGGTAGGCGTTTAGAAAGGCCCCTATAGGGGCGATGAGGCGAAACGTAACTGGAAAAAGTACACTGTGTGCTCTCACCTAACATCCCTGCCAGCTCCACATCATTAACATGCAGAATCCCCGCACAGACAACCCTATTCAGATCAAAACAGTTTCCCAGCCAAGAGCAGAGAAGAAAATGTCAAGAAATTAAGGGGATAAATTGCCAGAGCTGCTGTACAGTGGCTGATTAGATTGAATCCTCAGATTGAGAGAGAGGGAGGCATGAATTTGGGGATGGGTCAAAAATCCCATCACACCCTGGAAATGAAATGGGACAAATTTAGGATGCCCCTATGCCAGGAAGGCGTCTTCCGTGGAGAAGTGAGTGTGAGTGTGTGTGTGTGTGTTTCCCCAATGCTGGCTCATAGAAAACTAGATGGCATTCTTGATTTGTGTAGATAGCAGGTTTCCACCAGAGTTTCAGTGTGATTGGCAACCTAAATAGCAATTGATTATAGAAAGACACTTTGCATGCTCAAATCCAGTCCTGGTGAATGAAATTGGATCAACATTCATGCATCTCCAGACTGTAAAGTTCTTGAAGTGCCCTTTTGGTAGAAAGGGGGAGGAATTTGCAGAGGCAGTCACTTCCAAGCCTCCAGCTTTCTTGGCCAAGAGTGACTGCTGAGTGGGGTTTGAGAAGAGTGGGATCTTGGTGAAGGCCATTTATTTAAGGTTTGAGTGAGTAAATGAGAATGTTAGTCTCTGGGAGATTGTAAACCATGGAAAGTAGTAAACTTAACATGGGAAAGAATCTTTAGCCTCTTGCATACACTGAGCAATTCAGGGTGTTTTGTTTGTTTGGGAGGGAAGGATTGGGGGCTGGAGAGACTATGAAAGGGTTATCTGTTTGATACTTTGACCATGTTATAAGTAGGTCTGTACATAGTACACAAACATGTTGGCTTTGCAGGGACAAACATGTTCATTCCTGGTATGTAAGATCAGAGGCCTTCTGAATACTTGGTGGGAAGAATGTGTAAGATGGTGGCTTTATTTCTTAGCACTTAACCTCAACTAAAACTGACATCCAACCAAAGATACTTGAAGTGTTCTGTGGCGTTACTGAGTAAAGTTTGTAAAGTGTTCCACATGACAGTCTGTAAGTACCAGAAACTTCTCAGTTCTTCTTTAATCTCTAATATGTTGAGGGAGATAAAATTGCTTGTGGTTTACCTGGTTCCCTAGTACTTGGCATAACTCCTAACTAAGGAGCTAAATGACAAATGTAGAAAAGAGATGCCATCAAATTTTGGAAGATTTTGTTAACCCACCTAGAATCCCAGTTGTGTTGGAGTGGGTTCTACTGCTCAGTTAGGAATTTTGGAGGAGATATTTATGACTCTCTGAAATGGGTCCTGGATTTTGAGGACCCATTGAATAACACTGTGCCATAGTTTATGGCAAGGTTAAGCTGTACAATTCAGGACACGTCTGACTTAAGCATTGCCCTTGCTAGTAGCTGCTTGGGAAGTTTGTGACAAGGCCTAGATTTTCAGTGAAGTACAGACCTTGCTGTTTTCTCTATTTTAGTTAATTGAGGGGAAGGTGGTACCATAATCCTATTACTGGTCTTCCTGGCTCTTATTAGTTCCTCTAATTATGATATTAACTTTCAGAATGATGAGCTCTAAAGGTGATTATAGCTATCTTTGCTTTTCCTTGAGCATGTTCAGGAAGGCATGTTGCCTTTCACCACACTCCGGAGAAGAGAGAGACACCTCCTCTACTTTTTAAAATAGTCCTTTTTTTTTTTTTTTTTTTTTTTTTTTTTTAAGAGTAGGTTTAGGGTCACAGTAAAATTGAGCATAAGCTACAGAGATTTCCCACATACTCCTGGCCCCCACACAGGCATAGCCTCCTCACCATCAGCATCCTGCACCAGAGTGGTGCATTTATTAAAATTCATGATCCTACATTGATATATCATTATCATTCCAAACTCTGTGGTTCACATTTTGGTTTGACTGTTGGAATTGTCTATTTTGTGGGGTTGAACAAATGTATAATGACATGTATCCACCATTATAATACCACACAGAATAGTTTCACTGCCCTACTAATCTTCTGTACTCTGCCTATTCATTCCTTCCTCCCCTGGCAACCACTGATCTTTCTGCTCTCTCCGAAGTTTTGACTTTCCTAGTACATCATAGAGTTGGAATCATGTAATATACAGCCTTTTCAGATTGGTGGCTTTGACTTAATAATATGTATTTTAGATTCCTCTGTCTGCACCCCCACATGCCTTAATTATTTTTTAGTGCTAAATAACATTTCATTGTTAGATGGATAACAAATGGTTACATTCAGTCTACTGAAAGACATCTTGGTCGCTTTCAAGTTATGACAATATATATGTAACATATATATATATATGTTATAAATCTAAAATATATTACATATATATATTTTGAGGTGAGGTCTTGCTGAGTTGCTTAGGCTAACCTCAAACCCACTGTCCTGCTTCAGCCTCCTCAGTAGGATTATAGATGCCTGTCAGTTTTGGCAGTTATGAATAAAACTGTTGTAGATATTCAGCTGCACATTTTTGTTTGAACAAAAGATTTCAGCTTATTTGGATAACCATGTAGGAGCATTGGTGTTGGATTATATGATAAGAGTATGTTCAGTTTTGTAAGAAATCGCTAGACTGTCTTCTGTACTGGCTAAACCATTTTGTATTCCCAGTGGCAGTGAATGAGAATTGCTTTCATATCCTCACCAACATTGGGTGGTGTCAGTGTTCTGGATTTTGGCCATCTGTAATGGGTATGTAGTAGTATTTCTACTTTTTCTCATCCAAGTCCAAAGACTAAAAGAATCTCTAACCAATGGTCTGTCTGTCTCTTCTGGCACATAAAGGACTGGTTTTATGGATTTATGTTCTTAGCATCTGTATCAAAGAGGTAAACATTGTGGGGAAGAATCAACTGTAAAAAGCCTTTTATCCATGACTATAAGTGCCTGGTGCATCTGGAAGTTAGAGCTTGCTTGCCTCTAGTGCATTTTGGGGGGACGCTTAGATGTAGAATAGATTGTTTTGAGTGATTATCCAATTTTACCCATTAAATCAGCAGTGAAACCAGGCTACTGATTTTAGATTATATATTTTTTTTAAGAGTGGCAGAAATAAACAGAAAACAAATGCTTAGTCACCCTTTTGAGTAGCTTTTATGTGTTAGGCCAAATCTGTCTGGCATATCCTGTGGATGAGAATATTATCTTGCATACCTGCTTCACTGCAAATAATGCAGTCAAGGGCTAGGTGGGGTGATGCATGCTTGTTTGTAGTTCCAGAGTCCTTGGAGGCTGAGGCAGGAAGATGCAAGTTCAAGGTCAGCTTCAGCAATTTAGTGAGATCCTGTCTCAAAAAAATAGAAAGGGCTGGGGCTGTAGCTCAGTGGTAAAGCACCCCTGGGTTCAATTCCTAGTACCCCCCCCCCCAAAAAAAAAAGGGTGGTTGTGGTGGTGATGATCTCTGGGAAGGTGAGCAAATACAGTGGTGGGCAGTAATTCTGTGAGCAATAATTGAAAGGCTGCAGAGTTCTCAGCTAGCTGCTGCTATTCTAGGTGTGTGAGCAGGGTTCAGCTGGTTCCCTAGAGTGAGTACCTTTTCCAGGCAGGTTCAGACCTTCAGCCTGTGTTGGTTTTGGAAATAAAGGCCCATAATAAATTGCTAGTGTTTGGGTGTCTTTCTCATTATAAAATTCTTCATTATAAGAGTTTAGGGAAATATAGAAATGCAACTGTTTTGAAGTGATAGTAGAAAAACATGTTGGTATGTCATGATTAGAAAACCCATTTTAAACATCAATAGTGAAATGGTTTCTTTAATCAGTAAATGGCATCCTATAGTTAGTGTGCATTTTAGATTATTTACTCTGGAAGCCTAATGTGTTATTTTCCATTTTTAAGTCTTCATTTTGGCAGACTCTTGGAAGCCATTCGATTGACATTGCTCTTATACAGAGGCGTGGTGTCTTTTTTTCCTTCATAGAAGAAAAAAAAAATCTCTCAGATTCTTATGGAAACACCCAGCTTTGGACACAACTTTGAGGAAAATATGACCTCA